ACCAAGTGATCCAAGATAAGTGTACTAAAAAAATAAAGTTGAAGTCAAGCAAAGCGGAATTTAATGACGAAAACTGGACGAGAATAAAAGATACATTAAAGACTTTTCAAGAATCAAAATTAAGTGTAGTAATTCAAGAAGAAATTAATAGTGGATGGTAAAAGTCTCAAAATTGAAAAAGTCATCCCTCACCATCAACACGACTATATCAAGGTTCGTTTAAGCATCACAAACTCACTTTACTGTATAAATGATTGGTCATCATCTTTAAACAATACAATCGACATTCTGTTGATATTGTCTAATTAGACTTCTCCATAACTTTCAATCGTGTTCCCAAGCGTCGATTACTTGATAAATTGGATCATTATACGATCCGTGGAAAGTTAAACCCTTGGATTCAAAATTTTCTAACCAACAGATACTTTCTAGTTTATATTGGAAGGCCTCTTCACTAGACAAACCAGTTAAGAGTCCCACAAAGATCAGTACTTGGACCACTACTTCTTTGTGTCTACACCATCGATATACCGCTCATTGTATCTAGTAAGGTTTTCATTTTTAAATTACATAGAAATTCCATTATTAATTAACACGATCCTGAACATGATCTTGAATCAATATTCAAATGGTGCTCGGTATGGTTACTTTCTCATTATACATTGGAACATTGGAAAATGCGTTAAACTTCACATTGGCAAAAAGAACCTATCAATACGATATTTTATTAATGGACATCTTTTAAACTCGGTAACTCGGAGTGGTAATTAATAGTGACTATATTTGACGGATCACATAGTATCGGTGTGCAATCGTACAAACTTGAAACTGTTTCTGATCCGTAAATGGTAAACTGATCTCTCTAACTTCTGCAGACTCTGCTCACTATACCTTAGACCTATTCTTGAGTTTTCCGGGACTTGTGATAAAATCTTGCTCGAAAATGTTCAGCGTAAAGCTAAAAGACTCGTATTCAGTTCAATTGATAATACAGCTATATCATCCGCAAAGTTTTATCTTGCTTTAAAGAGAATATTTAAGATTAATGATTCTAGCCCTTTGATTGCTGATGACTACGATCGGAGTTGCACTGGTTCACCACTTGGTGCATTTGACTGCGTTCGGGACTAGAAACAGTCAAAAATTAAAGGAAGAACAATTTTTGAAACTTAATAAATTCAAGTGATGGGGAGAAGACTTTGGGTAATTTATCTGATGAAGACAATGTTTTATTTGATAAAGACAACGCTTCTGATTCTTCTGAGGAAGATTCCCAAGAAGAGATTAAGAATCTGATGATAAGGCCACTTGTCTTTCGCATTTACTGCCTCCTTTACGACCAGCGGTCATGATGGCGGCTGTAAGGCCGCTCGAAAATCCGTCCAATGTTTTAAGTTCTAAAATGAAAAATATTTATTACCCTGCTAATTGTTACCCTGGTACTGTGGCGTGAGTGGTTGGTTTGCCGCCAATATATTAAAAATGAGCACCACATATACGGAGTAAAGATTTATATCGTCACAGAACCCAATGATGTAATTTTAAATTCAGTGTTTATACCACAATGTTGGATGGTACTGGCGGAGGAAAAGGACATACGACGAATTAAGTGAGAGTTTCTTAGATGCAGGTCATTCCATTTACAACGATAATTTTTATAATTGTTTTAATTTGGTCAAAGAGCTAATTGCTTGTAAGACCTTTTATACTGGCACACTGGCCGCTAAATGAAAACAGAATCCTAAGTGAGTTGTAACGCCAAAACTAAAGAAAATAAAGACTGTAACACAATATTCTGATAATATTATAATCGGCAAATGGAGAGATGAGCGTGAAGTACTTTGTATATCAAACGAGCACAGCAACGAAATGGTATAGACTATTTAGATCAAAGAAACCGCAATTTTCAGAAACAATAAGAACATGGGTGGCATCAATAAACAAGATCAGATGAATTCTTACTATCCCTGTGATAGGAAGAGGCTAAGATAGTACAAGAAAATTGAAATTCATTTTTTGCAATTGATTCTATTGAACTCCTATTTTTTGTATAACAAGTATTCGGAAAAATTATTCTGATTTTTAGCTATAGATTGTCAGTCTGATATAGTCTTCTTAAAATACAAGACTCTAAAACAATACATGTGTTGACAAAAATTATTTCCAAAGCAAAAGATTCACGTGTAAATCGCAAGAGATGTCAGGTATGCACTACAAACAATATAAGAAAGAAAACTACTTATATATATATATATATATATATATATATATATATATATATATATATATATATATATCCGGTTTTTTTTAGGCGTTACGCCCGTCCGGTAGGGATCTATGGAGGAGTATCACCGAGCCGCAAGCCCTTATCTCTTGCCGTACTGCTCCACCATAGGCCGATCAGATCCCAGCATATCCTAGTCTAAGCCGCAGATTCATCTAGAATTTTAAACTGCTGCGTTAGACTTTTTGTTTTCTGTACACCGAGCTGGGGCTCGAACCCACATCCACTGAACCATTCGACAGTGAAGCGAATGAGAGGCAGCCGCACAGCCCGCTGAGCTATCTGACCGACCAGAAATGTAAAGAAAACTACTTTCCATTGCGAAAAGTGTCAAGAACAACCTTGATTCTGTGTCGGAGTTTGCTTTGAGAGTTTTCATCCCTAATATACACAACTTTTTCTTTATGAATATATTTGCATGATTCATAGATATTTTTTATTCGTGTTCAATTTGTAGTTACTTGCTACTGGAGAAAATATGTTTTGGTTGTTTTTAAATTTTTGTTTTTATTTTTTTTTTTTTTTTGTTTTTTTTATATTTTAATTTCATATAAGAACGTATTGACCTAACGCTGTCTTTTTTTGCACACATATACATAAATATTTAGAATAATCAATGTGGCTCCAATTGGCATCACTCAACATATGCGGTACCATTGATATTTTAAGATTCCTATAGAATTACGTACCGATAAAATAGAAGAAAAAGTCATTCTTAAGAAACAGCTTACTTGAATATAATTCATTATCATCTGACAAAAAAGAGTCAAACAAAAATGTAAAGTTAACCATTTGGAAGTTGCTTTAGTGCTAGCTTCATTTATAAAGAGCTTTAGAAACTGTTTTTGATTATATATGATTTATACAGATTAAACCACAATTGATTGTAATCAGAATTACATTTTTTTGTTTTAATGTTTGGCTTAACAATCTGGAAATCATATAAAAAAAAAAAAAAATATATATATATATATATATATATATATATATATATATATATATATACAATTATTTTATACCCAACCCAACAATATTCTTTATTTTTTCTGAATATTTTCCTTAAATCGTAATCAGGGCCCCTTTCATCCTCCATTTTGTCTTTAGTTTTAAATGAATTTTGGTGACTCCAAATTGTTGCACTTCTTGCACCTGTGCCTTATTCCATCCTCCTGTACCAATTTGTATATAATCGCTTAATCACTTCTTGTCAACAAACATTGCTATGGCTTTCAACGATCTTGTTTATCTAATGTCCTGTATGCACCTTTGTATTTCTCTGCAGGTGGAGAGTATGTGATTTCTTTTAGTATTTTTGAAGCATTACTTTTTTCTCGAGTCTGTAATGTTGTCTGTACTTCATGAATAATAATCACCATCAAACCAAGAACATATTTCTTATGTTTAACATATTTTTTATGTTTTACATAAACAAAGAACGTATTTCTTATGTTTTTCTTCTTTTGATTCTTTCCCTAGAGTTTTCAACATTTGTTTGTTTTCCACCAGTGTAAATGTTTTATCTAACCAATCTCTATTTGTTTGTAGAAACACTGCCTCTTTTAGGTGAGCTTTTAACCATTTCTCTTTAATCAGTGTTTTAAAATATACAAATATTTGCTTTAAACTGCTTAAATTATGAGGTGTGTCATCATAACAGGTCAATAACTGATTTTCCAAATCTTTGAGTTTGTCATCTATATTAGGCAAATCTTGTAGCTTCATTTAGTCGTAAAGATATTTACGGTTCACTATTTTTATACGAGAGGCATCAAATTTATCTAACACAATGAAGATCGTAACTAATTACAATTAAAACAATTAACTACTTTCTTTTTGAGACGTCATCATATATAGCAAAACCCTTATATTTCGGATATCTGCAGCTATCCGCAGCTAAATTGTACGTCATCAATCAGCCAAATATGAAGTACACAATAAAATAAACAGTGTTTTTAGAGAGAAGGCGAGAATATAACCAAATGTCTTATAAGCATAAAAATTAAACAGAAAATACTAATAGCCAAAATTTTTTTGTCAAACATTTAGTAAAACTTGCATATTTATTCAATGTAAACAATAATCAACTAGATGTATTAATAAAATAGACCAATTCTAGTCAACTAGAATCGCAATAATTTGAAAATAAAAATGTTGTTGTTACTAGCATAAGCAAGATTTACAGCTTAGCAGTGAAAGGGTAGTTGAAAGTATTATATTGGAAATACTTGATAGAATAATTACAAAATGGAATGATTAGAAGAAAAAATCATGGGGCTTTTACTAAGATTTTGAAACGTTCAAAAATATTTAAATCACGAGATTCTATATTTATTGTGAAATACTGTTTACTTTTCGTTTAAAAAAAAACACTAAATTAATCAGGTTCACATTCATTATTAAATAAGATGATCAACCGTTGGTGGAAACAACAAAAATTTCTGCAAGAGAAATGCAGATTCTTTTGAATCATATATTCAATGCGACAGGTTTTGGTCCTCTCTCTCTTTTCGCACGTTTGTTTATCTTTCGTAAGACAAAGACGATCATTAGAAAGAGGAACAATTATTCATGTTCTTCCGATATGGCCGGGTATAGAAATGAAAGTCGCTCTTCAGTTTCTTTCAGTGCCAATGCTAAAGGACATCAGGAAGGTCGTGCTAAGTGCCAAATAAGTTGAATTTTTAAGTGCGATTTTATTTTTTTTTTATGTGACATAATGGAATTAATTACAGTAAGTCGAATATTTTTTCTAAATTCGTTTATTACAAAAATATTAACTGTGTTTTTTTAATTTTATTTTAACTTTGTTCTTACTTTTGATGCTAAAAAGGATTAATAATTTTATTTGCACAACAACACCCTCACTATTTTTTTTTATTTCTAAAAAAACAGATCTTTGCTTTTTAAAAAGTTATATACATTTTTTTCTTTTCTACCAAAATCTTTGGTTTATATTAAAACGTAATTTGTTATTTTGCAGTTAATTTCGCAGTCATTCATTTAAGTGTACGGATTTTTTTATTAGTAACTTTTTAGGGCTTTCTTAAGACTTTTAGCGTTATATCAAAATTCATATTGGAATTATTTCTAATATTGCTACGAACATTCTTTATTATAAATTTCCGCAAAATAAGAATATCAATTCTAGTAACTTACCATTCGTGTGAGCATACTTTTTTGATTCTTGTGGGAATCTACTTAATTTCAAACATTTTAATTAAAATGAGTTCCTACAACATAATCTAATACGTAGAAAATTAACTACTTTACTGTCAGTTTGTATTATCTCTACGATAGAATTAATTGTTTTTCAATTTAAAATTTTTACTCATAGATCATATTGGGGCATTATTTTCGATAAATAATAAATTAAATTGATTAAAAAGTCAAACCTCTTATATGTGTTAGTTTTTGTTGATTGTATATGATTAAAACTTTATGTCAAATAATAATACATTGCATCAACTGTATTTAATAAAATAAATCTAAAAAAGTTTAAACTTGATTGATATTTTGACCGTTGACGTTTCTTGATATTTTATACCCATTGTCATTATTGTCATTATCAATTATTATTTATGTGTACAAGAATACATATTTCTTCTGTCATATCTACGTTAAGTACATTGTGTTAGTTTTGGTAGAGCTTTTGTTACTTTCGTTCAAAATGCCACATCAGTTTTCGACCACAGAATATGCAGACATAATATTTGTTTATGGATTCTGTAATGGGAATGGTAGGGCTGCTAGTAGAGAATATCGCAGGAGATTCCCTAATCGTCAAACTCCCAGTCATTCAACATTTGGGTCAGTTTTTAATTATTTGCGAGAAAATGGCACTTTTCCTAGTGGAACAACAGAGCGACATGTAGATGAAGCGCAGGAAGATGACATTATGGACGCCGTTACTATGAACCCTACAATAAGCACTAGACAAGTAAGTCGAGAACTCAATATTATTCAAGCAAAAGTGGGTAGAGTCTTACAAAAAAATAATCTATACCCATATCACATTCAAATGGTTCAGCGACTACATGCTGGAGATGAGATCGATAGGTTGGAATTTTGTAGATGGATTAACAATAATCGACCAACTCTATACAGGACACTATTTACAGATGAAGCCCAATTTACCAGAGACGGGATAAATAATTTACGAAATTCACATGTGTGGGCAGAAGAAAATCCCCATGCTACTCGAGAACGTCGTTCTCAGTTAAGGTTTTCGGTTAACGTGTGGATTGGTGTCATAAATAACCAATTAGTAGGTCCTCACTTTTTTGATGGTCCTTTAACAGGGCAGGTCTATTTGAACTTTCTACAAAATATTTTGCCGAATTTGCTTGCCAACGCGAACCTTGCTATTCGAGGGATGTATTTTCAGCATGATGGGGCACCCCCACACTTTTTACTGGCAGTGAGACAACATCTCAATAATGTTTATGGCAACAGGTGGATAGGACGTGCAGGTCCTATTTCGTGGCCTTCAAGATCCCCTGATTTCAATCCCGTTGATTAACATATTTGGGGACGATTGAAGCAACTAGTTTACGCAGTGAATATTAATAACCGACAACAATTAATTGGTAGAATTATACATTGTTGTAATACTATTAAAAACGATCCCCAGAGTATCCGTAATTTAATACGTCAATTAAAAATTCGGCAACAAAAATGTGTACAGGCTGCAGGGTTCCATTTCGAAAATCTATTTTGAATTATTTTTATTTTGTTACCATTATTGTATCTTTTCCAGTTCTAATTTATGGGTTTATCATAACTATGTACATATTTTCAGTTTATTTTTAATTGTTCTTCGTAACTGTTTTTTGTTGTGCAGTGACTCAGTTTATCATTTCAATTAAAATGTTTGAAATTTATAACATTTGTTTAAATTAATTACCTTATAATTTGATACTTCATTATGGTTTTTCTACTTTTGGTAAGACTTGATCGTTCACTAAAAATTTAATAAAAGTGCGACAACATTGTCGCATATGTCGTTTTCATGGGCTATTTATGTAGTTTGAAAATCACTTATTGCATTTTAAAAAATATATATACAGGGTGTAATATTTAATACGAATCCCTAAATTAATTTTTCCAAAGCCAGTCCTGGAATTTTTTAGTTTAGCTCATACCAGTCGAATGCTTGATAGTACAGTAAAGTACAGTAAAATGAAATAAATAGTCAATTACACAAATCACCCTGTTAATTAATAAAGAAGAGGAGTTGACATTTTTTAGTGGCCACATGATATGTTCCCTAAGGGACTCTACATATGGTAGAAGTATGTAAAGTTCACAAGGAATCTACGTTCCTGTAGTTGGCTGTATACCATGTATTAAAAATTTAATTAAAAATCCTTTGTAATAGGTATATTTTAGGCCCAAACTCATTTTAGTGCAACTCATACACTCATACAGTCCTCGAAGACATACCGTCTCAGGACTAGCAACTTCAACGTGGAGTCATATGTCGCCATGTTACCTAATCCATCGGTAACTCTTTAATCCTAAATCATTATAACATTATTTTAAAACTAAATGTAATTAAACATCTGTAATCGGGTTTTTACCCACATATTTAATCTTGGTGGCTACATTCATGTACTCCTAGACACTGATGATGGAACATGGTTTCCGAAAACGTTTTGTCTTTTTAACTTAGCCCGTTTGGGCCTAAAATATACCTATTACAAAGGATTTTTAATTAAATATGTAAAGTTCCTCATGACTCACCCTGTATAATAATGCATGTATTTTCAAACCATTATTTTTTGGTCTTTACTCCGGATAAAATCTATTTGTAGTTCAAAAGCAAGAGGTATTTGCAATGTTTCTTTGGTAAGAATTCATTAAAATCTTTTTCAAAAAGCAACTTAAAACCAGCATAATCAACTGTAGACAGAAGAATGTTGGATGCAAGCGGTAGGGTGGTAATACAATTTTAAAAACCTAGCATAAATTCGTGGTATTTCAAAAAAAATTGTAATTCTGCTGGCCCAAATACCGTTGAAAGCTAGCGGAAAAGTTTCCAAATAAAATTGATTTAGGGGTGGAAAATTATCAGGGTGGTCAAAGTTTAGTAAAAACTTACCAGAACCCTTTTTTATTTCAGCTATAAGTAGAGTACAGTAAACTGTAAAAAAATCTTTTTATTATTTATATAAGAAAAAACAGAAATATTGGCTTTCTACAAAGGGTAGTTGAGGGCTAAAAAATGACTAATATTGTAGTAAATTCGTAAAACTCTAGCAGAATACTGTGGTATATTAAAAATATTTTTTGAACTTGTGCTAACTTTAATATTAAGCTATCGGAATTGCCCGCATTAGAGGCAGGTTTAAGAGTGAAAAATTATGGGGTTGGTAATAAATTAGTGAAACATGGAGGAAAAAATATGCCTTATGAAAAAAGCTTGTTTTTAATTCTGCTATCTTGAACTTTAAGTCAGCAGAATCGCTCCCCTTAAGTGTGGTTTGGCGGTAAAAAATTATTAGGGTGGAAATAAATTAGTGAAAATTGGTGAAAACATACTAGGTTAAATTGGATTCTGCGCATCTGTCATAGCCAGCTTAAGGATCCTATATGAGTCCACAGTAATTATTTTCCATCTTCTTCCAGCCATTTTATCATTTCTGGTTTTATTTCATCAGTACCACAGGCCTTTCCTGTTTGACTTATTTTAAAAGCATTGTCCACCTCTTCCGTATTTATCTCTTCAGATTCTGGGTCATCTCTGTACCTTCTTTCTTCCGTTATCGTACTTGTTAAGTTTAGTCTCTTTTCATAAAATTTATCTGCATAATAATTTTTCCATATTTTTAAGATATATTTCTTAGTTTTTAATTCATTTATATTATTTATTACTGTCTTTATTTCTTTTCTTTTGCCTTCATTTATAGATATTATAGTCCACCGGAAGTGTCTGTTTCATTCATCGTTTATTTTATTTATAAATTTCTCCCAGTTTTTCTCTTGCACGGTATTTTCTTTTTAGTCACATTAAAATAACCACTTTTTATCTTTTTAGTTTTTCGTATAATTATTTTTTTGAACAACTTTTTTCTTTTCACTTTTTTCTGAATTTCTTTGCCCACTGTTAACCTTCTTCGGATTATTCGTATGTTTAATCCAGCCACATACCAGTGCTGAGTTATAGATTATACCTTTTAAAATATACGTATTTATTTTTTATTGATATCATCCTCATTGGTACTACAGCCCATTGTAGAGCCTTGATATTGCCAAGTGTAGCCGGGCAGTCAGCCCTATCTATTGTCAACCGCTTCCAGTTTTCTGCATCTATTTGTCTAGCCTCTCCATCTGCACCATCCGTCCATCTAAATTTTGGCCTACCTCTCCGTCTACTTAATGCATTTAATTCGCCTACAAGGATTGTTCTGCTGCGATCTTGTTAGATTCCTGCCCATCTTAGTCTTCCTATTTTTGTGAAATGGATATCTTACCAGATATCCATTTGTATTTGTGGTATATCTCATAGTTGTATGTCTCAAATATGAACTATTGGTTAGCATCAGGAAAGACCCTCGAATTCAAAACGACAAATGCCGATATGGATGTGAAGCCCAAGAAACCATCCAATATTTTCCAATAGGAGTTTGTCGGACTGATTACAAAGAACATCATGATTTAGTAGGGAAGATTATTCACCTGGAATTAGTCAAAAAACTAGGACTTCTCCAAACGGACCGTCTCTCTTAATATCAATACGTCTTTGAGATAATGCTTGAAAATGACAATTACAAGCTATAATGGGACCACACTGTGCTCACAGATTAACCAGTGGCACATAATAGCCCATATCTCACACTAGTTATTAAACTTACTAGGCAAACAACACTAATAGATGTGGCGATACCTAACAATAACACTATGTGAGTTAAATACAACGAAATTGCCAAGTATAGAAATTTAGAAATACAAACAAGAAGACAGTGGAAAGTAGAAAGTACCCATACAGTATCTATTATTCTATCTACTTCTGGTGTTATTCCTAAAAACCTCCTAGAAAACATAATACAGCTGGGTCCAAGTAAACACCTCTCTAAAACCATGCAGAAAGCTGTGCTACTCGCAATGTCCAGATGCGTATGAAAATTTTTGGGAGATATTCCAACGTACTAAGCCATTTAGGGCTAGATAAAACGGAAAAAGTCGCACCAGAGCTTAATTTTTTGATACTGTAGGAATCTGGAATGAGTGGATTTTCCCCTTAGAGGGAGTGTGAGCAATATGACTAAATCTGGGCAATAATAAAATACAAACAGAGACCATATGAAATTAAAACTGAATTAAAAAACTTTATGATCAACTCGTATTCTATTTGGGGTGTACCACTGACGACGAGAGAGAGAAAAACCATCTGGTTTATATGTGGAAATCTCTATCAGATTAGAATTTCTGAGTTTTTTACTCTATTCAACCACGCACTGCTCATCAATAAGGAAATCAGCTAAATTTGTTGCAGTTCTAGTAGGCGGATGTCTGGATCTTACTCTTAACTCTCTTTGGTCTAGTTCAGTGATGTCTGTATTTATCGGCAGTGATAGGTTTTGTTGATATTTTTGAACTAGTTGTCTTTGTGGATAATGTTTCTAAAAATTGGAAGCGATTGGGTCAACGTGAACTTTATATTTTTGATTATGTTCCTCATTATTTGGTTTAATTAGATATCTATAACTTTTGTGTGATGACTGTTTAGCCAGACATGGGTGCAATTTTCTGCAGTAGAATATGCTAAGGACAGTCGCCTTGTACTGATTACATCTGCTTGAGTTCGCTGTGATGTATTTAGTAACTAATAAATAATGTTATTTTTGGGTTTTTATTTTAGCTGCAGTGTTTTTCAAATACTGTTTTCAAACGTCATGGTATGATCTAGTATTTTGGATTTGGATTGTGCTTTAGAATAGTTCTGTCGTGTTCTATATTTAGACTGTAATTAATTTGCTTGTGGTTGTTTAGATGAAAACCTGTGACTTTTTCATTTCTTCAAGTATCTGCTAACAGTATTTAGATCTGCTTCTATGGAGGTTTCGTCATTTTTTATATCTTCTTCTTAAGCTCCCAGGAATATGTTATCGGCATAAGTAAATTTGTGTTAGATGGTAGTCGGTATAAATATTAAAAGGAAAGGCAGAATAACTGACTCTTGTGGTAGTCGAGTTCTTATGTTTCTGAAATTACTACTCTTCCCATTGATGTATATTTAGAGAAGTCTTTCACTTAACTGTTAACAAAGGACGACATGGTACCATCTAGTATATTTTAACAAAAGACCTTTATTTCATACTGTGTCTTAGGAGGAAGCCCAGGGGTAGCAGTAGTAAACTTTTTGCATATTTTATAAGGTCTTAAAATTGACATACTCAGCAAAATTATGCTTGTTCGTGTAATTTTTAGAATTTTAGTAACGCTTCTGACGACTGGAATTTTATTTTTTAAATATTTAGAAATTAAGTTAAAATAATAAACAGATCTAGTATTAAATCTCGTTTGCAAAGTACATATACTACTAAACAAAATATTTTGGTTTTAGGTTAGTCTATTTTTGATATACTTCACAACTTCAGTTTCTGGTATTGAAGTTCACACACCCGAAGTAAAAGAAAGAGGAGCAGAGTCCAATTCCCCAGAAAGAGAAGGTCTGCGAGTGACCCGTAAATCTGAAGACACTTATCCTGCAGTTGCCTACGTCCCTCATAAATTTAACTTCCAGTTAGCGAGACAGCAGGATTACCTTAAACAGCGATACGCACAGCAGCAACTGATCGACGTAGAGAAAATTGCGGCAATTCATACAAATCCCTCAAAGAAAAATAAAAATATCGATATTCTAAAACAAGTAAATCTGGATTCTACTGAGCCTCATACAGCATATGAATGGCAACCCACTGAATCTAGCTCTAAAAATAGACACCAAAGAAGTTCTGGGAATAGTAAGACGTTAGACTATATTCCTATAAGAATCAAAACACCGAGAAATTCAGACGATAAAATAAAAATTAAAAAAGAAGAATCAGATAGTCCAATAAGAAGAAAAGATGAAAACGATCCAGGATTTGGAGGGCAAATTATCTACTTGGATCCTCGAATCCTAAAACAATTATTAGACCTTAAAAATAAGCGTACTCAAATTCAAAGCAGATCATTTAACGAACATTCTGGTGCAGTTGACGCCAACTCACTTAACGAACTTATTGGGAAAAATCCTCATGTCCAACTAGAAAGCTTGAAACGACTATTACATCAGTCCCAACAAACAAAATTTGTACCAGTAATAAGTCAGGCACATGCTTTTCATCAAAAGGATCACACTCCTATTACAGAAAGAACTGTTGACGTACCAAATCCCCAGTCAAAGCCTAACATTAAAGTAGAACATGAAGATTCTTCAAAAGTTCCTCAAACACAGCAAGTTGTTACGAAAGAAACTTTTGAAAAAATTCAACAACAATTAGATGCAGCGTCCAAGTTTCAAGTTCAGCAAGCATTGGAGCAAGCACAGCAAGCTGCACACGCCCATGTTGCCGCCCAACATAAAGCGATAGAACAAGCACAGAGAGCTATATTTGAAAAAGTACAAAAATCACTATATGAAAGTCCCCAAGCTTTACGACTGATTCGTCCAGAGGAATCAGATGTAACGACGCATATCAACGTACCAGTACAACATCAACAAGCTATTTATTCTGCCCCTATACCAGTTCAGACAGAACAACATCAATCAGATTTTACACGTCACTTAAATACTCAACCACAGCAGCATCAGCCAGTATATTCAACACCATTACCACCTGTAGTAGTATCACCTGTGCATGATATACAAATACCAACTTCAAAAGTACATATAACAAAATACAATACAGCTTTAACTACTGCAGGCCCAACAGTTTTACACAATACCATTGAATCTACTAACAAGCTACATCAAATAGTTCAGAATGAAAACCGTCAGGAGCCAGTAGTACATAATGTTCGTATAATACAAGTAACGCCTATTCCAACACATGGACCTAAGCATATTTTAATACAACCACAAGTGAAACATTTAGTTTTAACCCAAAAACAAGCACCACAGTACCAAACCAAAAACGTAGAGCATTACGCTCCTAATCATCTTCACCAAACTGCCGCACAATTACAAGCTGAAAAAATTTTACTTCAACAAGTGCAATCTCATAACAACGCTATTCTAAATAGTAATAAAAATGTGAACAGGTATGTAGGCCAAAAAGTTCCAGCACATGCATTCCAAGAAGAGACAGCTGAAAAAGAAGCGCAACCATCCGCAGATGCTTATCAACATATTTATTTGGACCACAAAGAAGCAGATAATAGCGTTGATCCACAATTAGAACATAAAGAAGAAAACGAAGAAGTAAGTAAAAACCAAATTTTTTTATGTAGTAATTGTTCGGATAGAAAAAAACGTAATATTAATATCGATAAAATAAACATTAACAATAATATTAGTAATCATAGAATGAGTAATAGTTCAGATGAGTACATAGAGTACTACGAGTATTATGATGATGAATCTAATAAAATATTAGAAACGGTTAAAATGAATAAAACTATAACACCCGATAAAAATTCCTTGCATGAAAATAGTACACTTACAAATGATTTTGAATATTATTACGAATATTATGACGATGAACCTGACAAAAATAATAAATCGTCCCAATTTAATGCAGTAGGTTTAACATCTGAAGATAAACCAGTATCAGAGATGTTAACTTCATTCGGTAATACTTTTCTGCCCACTCATAAAAATGATAAATTTGATACTGATCCTTCACTTTATTATTTAAATGACTACTTTGAAGTAAATATGGAAACAGATGCAAATCACCACTATGACGAAACTCTATCTGATAATGATGATTTTGCAAATGTTAATAATTTCCATTCCCAGATCTCAAAGAGGTATTACCATTCTTATCCTAAACCTCAAAATGTATACCATTATCCAGCGAAAATTCCAGTTCATCCCGTTCATAAGCCCGGGTCTGGTTGTAATCCTGTAGTAATTGTTAATAATAATAAATCACCTAGTTATCCCAAAAGAAAGAAGAAGTGGAGGAGGAAGAAGAAACGTCATCACAGACGTAATTCTCATGTAAAAGTACCAATTAGGTACCCGACTTTTGAAGAAGTAGAACATAAAGTAAACAAGGCGTTGTCTAAAATGAAAGTTAGAATATAACCTTGCTTTTTATAATTATTGTAGGAATTTGTTCACTTTCAATCTTTTTCCTTTTTTTATCCAAAATCTTTCAATTCTTATATATACTTGTGTTCTATGCTCCTATGCTCATCATCATCATCATTAAACCCGGATCTATCCACTGTTGGATATAGGTCTCCCTCAGTCTTTTCCATGTATTTCTGTTTTGTGCTGTTTGGATCCAATTTTTGTCGATCCGTTTTATGTCATCAGACCATCTTGTTGGTGGACGATCTCTACTTCGATGTGCTTCTTGTCTCGGTCTACACTGTATTATTCGCTATGTCCATCTGTTATCCGACATTCTAGCTATGTGCCCCGCCCAGTTCCACTTAAGGGTCATAATTCTTTCTATGACATTTGGCACTCCTGTTCTCCGTCTTATTTCCTTGTTCGTGATCCGATCCCTACGAGAAATGCCTAACATCGATCGTTCCATGGCTCTTTGGGTAACACAAATTTTATTTCTTACTTTCTTGGTTAGTGTTAATGTCTCTGCACCATATGTAAGTACTGGCAACACGCACTGATTATAGACTTTTCTTTTAAGACACATAGGCAGTTCTGATTTAAGAACATAGCTCAGCTTGCCGAATGCCACCCAAGTGAGTCCTATGCGGCGGCTTAGTTCGCACGTTTGATTATCTCTTCCTATGCGTATCTCATGTCCTAAGTACTTATAAGAGGTGGTTTCTTCAATATGCATGCCATTTACTGAAATCTTTTCGCCTAACACAAGATTTGTCATGATTTGTGTTTTTCTGTGGTTGATTTTTAATCCAACTTGTAGGGAGGCTAGGTATAGTTTCTTCAGTTGCGATGGAGAGTAGTATAGTTTCTCCAGTTTCTCCTATGCTCATGGTATACAAATATTCTTTATTATAAATTTTGTTCAACATGCATTTTTTCAGACCTCTTTTTTTGGTATAGGCATTTGCCATTCAGTTGTTCTTTGTTCCTGGTAATTCAAAAATATTTTTTTTGATTAGAAGGATGTGTTGTGCTTTTGTTAGGAAAAGATATAGTCTCAATGGCTATAAGAACCGACAAAGAATCAGATGCAATTATTGCGGAGTTTTCATTGGAATTCTTAAAATACTTTAATGCTTCATAAATTGCTTCGGTTTCAGCAGTAAAAATTAGAAAATTATTATCTAGAGTAAACATGCTTTTTATACTTTGAGAAGGAATATAAAAAGCGCATCCATAACTGTTGATGCTGGCCAGTTTTCTAATAAATTCCTTAAAATATTGTAGCTGATTGCCGTATTTACATGATACCTTGGTTTAATTACCTAAATAGTTTGCAAAAAAGCATAAAATTCTTCAAAGTTTGAATTATTATATGTGTATGAGTTGATGTAATCGCAATTTGAGAGATTTCTAAAAGCGTCACAAGTCATACTCATGTTGGTTTGTGGAAAAGTTTCAGCGTTATTATTTAGCTGCCAATGTTTGTCTCTGATAGACTGTCATAGTGTACCATTTAATTTTTGTCCTAAAGTCCCTTCGTCTATGAAGATAGGAGTTGTTTTATTTGTATGTTTATTTGACCAACTTGGATTTTAATTTGCTTACGATTGGATATCTGTACTATTTCTCCGTTTAACAAAAAGAGGTTAATCTTTGTAAGTGGGTATATTTATTTAAAAAACCCTTAAAAGGGCCACATCAATAGAACAAACGTTTTCGGACTAAACAGTCCATCATCAGGTTATTAAAATCGAAAATGCCTAAAAATAAGTATAAACCATTTAGTTAAAACAAACGAGATTTTGAAATTTTGACTAAGGTTGAAAAGCACAAGATGGTTATACTTACTAGGTCATAATGCCTGAGCCACCAAAATATTAGGGTAAAAACCCTTTAAATTACATTTAGTTATGAAATTATTTACATTGTGTTATAAAATAACTGTGATGTTCTATATTAAATTAAATTTGACCAAAGGTAACACATGGCTCAAATGGGTTCCAGAGCCGGGCGAGAGACAACCTCTGCGCTCGGAGAACAACGTGGAACTGATTGACAAGATACTTTTGAAGGATGAAGATAACAGAATGTCAATGCAACAAAAACTATAAAAGTTGTACATAGTATTACTACAGCCAAAAGATTCCGTTTCTACTTTGTTGCTAGATGTAAGCAAGCTAATGTTTCTAGTCTGAGCTATACATTTCGGAGACAGTTTCAGGAAGCTAAGTCTTTCAGAGTGTCCATCTCATTCCAATCCGGCTCGAAGGACCATGTACAGAATCTGTACGAGATTAGCGTTCTTTACACGAAGCAATAAAATCCATTGTTTAATTGATCGATTAATTTTAAATTTTTCGTTTTAATTCTTCCTAGATTAGTTGTAGTGAATTTTTGTAGCATACTTTAAATATTACTTGAAATGTTTGATATCTCTAAGCAAATGTTTGTGGCATTGAAGTTCACTATAATATAAGAGTTACCACTAATGTAAACTCTATAAAATACTTTTTATATACTATAAAAATACATCTGACATTCCTCAACCATCGAAAACTAAAATTTTATTTATAAAAATAGAGAATGTCTAAAAGAATACTTTTGAACATCTTGTTTAAAACTAATATAATTTTTAACCATTTTAGTACAACATTTATTTTATAGTGTGTTATTTATTTATTTATTATTTAAGTTTATACCAGGTTACTTTGCTATTTCTTCTATTTATATCAACTAATTTGTAATCCATACAATGAGTAGAATAATTGTAAGACAACTATTTTTAAAAAGGAGTCATGTTTATAGAATGAAACAGATTTAAAACAAACTACCAAAAACTTAGTTTTACTTTAAACCTTTAACAAAAATATACTGTGTGGAAAATAAACATTTATGTTTGTGGAAATCGAAATTTATTTCTTTTATTATTGACTACTTACTGAAAAAACAAATATCAACTAAAATACACCTTAAAATTAATTGTTTAATGCCCAGTTGCACCAACAGATTGTAAATCAACTGATTTGCTAACCGTCAATTCGACGATTTAAATCAACGATCAATGGTTATTTTCAAATGAGTTGCACCATCCTAAAAAACTATTGGTTTACAAACCGACAATTTATACGTGGCAACATTGCACGATTACAGATTATTTCGATAATTTTATTCGAATCGGAGTGTAATCTGTCAAAAAGATTGTCAACAAAGAAAGTTTTGTAAGGTTATGTCATCGAGTTAGGGTTATGCCATCGAGTTAGAATCTATGGAGAAGCTATTAGCATATTAACGTATGTATTAAAAATGGCATAGGTAGGAGTGGCTAACGATAATACCAATATGGCGGTGACATGAGGGCCAGACTCAATAATAATAAAACTACTATATAAATATGACTAGTTATTCAGAAGATTTAATCATAATCTAAAAAAGTGCAATACATTTTTAATAAACTATGATTTATTTATCCCGCGGTAAACACTAAAAACACGAAATATTATACATAAAGATAAATTAATACAGACAAATAGTATTAATTTATTCTCTAAAGTACGGGCCATTACTTTGTTTACATATTTATATACTAACCTGTGGAACGATATTCCTGAAGATTTTTTATTAACATTACTTCTGCTACTGCAACTACGTTGAGAACAAGAAACCATTATTATGCACTATCACAATATATTACAGTTTCTATAAAAGTATTATAAAACTGAAAATATTCGAAAAACAACAAATATAACCAAACATATACGATCTGTCAAAAGTTTCAAAACAATAATACCAATATAGCCGAAGTGGGGTCGTTTTTAGTCACGTGATGCTCTCTCCATAGATTCTAACTCGATGGGTTATGCCCATAGATAAATAATATAATAGTAGGTTATGCCAATCCAATTGAACATTAAACTATTATAATAACATTGTTTTCTTGCAATTTTGTGTATGTACTTAAAATGGAAAATAAAGGAATCCACTTCTCTAGTTTAGAGAAAGATATAATTTTAGATCAAGCAGTTAAATATAAATTTATTATAGAAAATAAACATTCTAAAAGGACCAACACTGTTTTCTTGCTTACTCGATATTTAAAAAATAATTAAAATGCATTTCTAGTCTTCAGATAAATAATGATTGCGATCTCTTATATATCTGATATTTGGTAACATATGCATTATATCTTTCAAATCGTCAGAAGATGAACTTGACGACGACGATGATGATAAATCCATTTTTTTAAATTATAATCTAGAATACTTTAAAAACACTTTAATAATATAAAAAGTGTAAAAGTGAGGTTAAAAACAGTAGATTTTTTAAATAACCGTAGCAAATCGGTTGGTTACTTTTGACATATCAAAAACAGTAGGTTCCAATCGAGTAATAGTTGGTGCAACATATTCTACATTAAACGGGCAATCCAAATCAAAAAATCAATCGTTAATTTGTTGGTGCAACTGGACATTCGTGCTAGAATAAATCTGGACCACAGTATAGTGCTTTCTTAAATACTGTGCCTGGACTTGGTTATTTGGAATTACTTGTATATTTCGTTCATACAGGGTGCCGCATTAGTGAATGAAAGTCCAATATTCATTTGTCGTATGAGATACGAAAAAAAGTATATTTAGGTAAAAAATAATGAATTATTTGCTCTTGTGAGTCTATTTCAAACTGAGTAATAAAAATAATTGATAGACTTATTCACAATCTATTTATTTAGTAAGCGACGACCGGTTTCGACTACTACAGTTTTCTGATCATCTTCAGGTCACCGGTAAACTACAATCCTTATAAAGCTAAAAAAATTACACATTGTAATACTACTAATTTGACCAAATCTTACATCAGGTATGGTACAAAAGGTGCCAATATTACTTATGTTAGTTAAAAATTAAAGGGAGGGGTGGTTTTTTATTGAATTTTAACGTTAAATTTCTTGTACCGGAATG